AAATAAGCATATTGTGGAGGTAGACAATCAAAGTGTGGTGTCCATGGCGAATGGTGACTTTACGGAGTCCCTTGGAGTTCATGGCAGCTTGGTCCGTGCCATTCGTGAGTTGCTCAACCGGGCATGGGAGGCTAAAGTGCTTCATTGCTATCGTGAGGCGAACTTCGCGGCTGATTGTTTGGCGTCTGTTGCTCATCAATGGCCGAGTGGTTGTCAACGTTTATCAGATCTCCCTTCGATGGTTACCCCGTGGTTACAGCATGATCTTATTGGAGTTGCTTACCCACGGAGTGTAACTGTCCCGGGACCCTAGGCTTTTGCCTCCTTCTTTTGTACCAAAAAGAAAAAAAAAAAATAAGCATATTGCCATCTTTATGTAAGTTCTATAAATATCATGCGTGAATATGTTAATATAATACCAAATAAAGATTCATCCCGAATCTCTGAAGATATATGTTTTATTGATCCTACCAATATATCATGCATGAATATGTCAAAAAATCTTCAATATATTATGTGTGAATATGCAATGACTTATCAAATAAAGATAAAATAACTTAATAAAACTATTTTCAAATTTATCCGAAAAAATGTAGGGGAGAAATAGTTATCCGACCATCAAATATTTATTTTATTAACATGTTATTTTAATTTTCAATAATACTATCAATACAAATGTATATTCACTAGAGATTTACCTTTTTATGATTAAGTTTGCTACAGAAAATTTTATTAATATTTTAAATTATTAACTAAGTTAGTATGATTCAGACATAGTTATTCTGATTATTCTATAATATATTTTAAGTACTTCTGATCTGTGAATATAATTAATAAAATTAATATCTAAAATCATAGATGATAACATATTTAATAAAATTAATTTTCATAATATCTTTTTTCAATTGTGTCAATAAATTACTATGAAATTAATTTTAAGATCTTATTAAAAATATATCTAATTAATATACGGTCAAAATAATTCTATTTAAGTCAATTTGTAATTAATGAATATTAGACATTGAGTATATAAAGAATAATTAAGTTTTTTTTTTATATATATACAATTTGCTAATATATAAAGATTAACTAAATATCAAATATAAACGAAAAAATTTCCTGCCCAAAACTATACCAATTATAGTAATATGAATTAGTCCATTATATATATATATATATATATATATATATATATTGGAGCGAAATTTTCACACTATGCAATGTAGAATAGCATGTATGTAGACATGGCCGGGCCGAGACGGCGGGCCCATTGGTTACCCTTTACCGGCCCGCTAAAACCAAGGGTCAGGTCCATCGAACCAGCCCTGTTTCGGTCCGCCGGAACCAAAAAAAAGGGACCCGGAAACGACTCGTAAAGCCACGGAGCCGGTTCTCGGAACCGACAACCTACAAGCCAGTTGCGGGCCGGGCCGGGCCGGGACCAGGGCGACGGGCTGGCCCGTGGCCATGTCTACATGTCCACATTGGTGTTGCTTGAAACCACCACAATTTAAGGGTGGATATGAAGTTTGAGGCCAATCATAGTGGCGAAGATTGCGAAACTACTCTTTCATTATAACTAGTTTTTGGCCCGTGCATTTGCACGGAAAGTTATATGATAGAAGAGAATAAAGTAAAAAAAAAAACAAATATAAAAATAATAACATAATCATTGAAACAAAATAAGAAATAATATCTAAATATTATTAAATATTTCTTTATATACAACGTTCGTGGTTTTTCTATCGTCACAATATCCATCAACACAAATTATTATCTCGAAACTCCTCCGACTGATGACTCTAAATCGTGCCACATACAATTTTGGTCAACAAATCTCTTGTCAACACCTTTTGAAGATGGTAGTTTGCACATTTTGGTACATGACTATTCTCACGATTATATCTTCAAAATAATAATAATAACAACAATAATAATAAAAAAATAATTGATTGATATAATTAAAACAACAAAGGAAAATGTAATAGCTATTTATAAAGACAAAAAATTAAACAGTACCTATAAGCATAGTTGGGTTAACAAACTTGGGACTATTGTACCCTCACTTGGCGTGTACCATGTCCCGAGTTCGAGTCACTCGGAGGGGAATTGGGGAACCAGTTTAGATCCTCCTTTTTAAGAAGAAAAAAACAAACTTGGGACTATTTAAATCCTTGAAATTTTTGAACTTGTACATGGAAGAATTTATAAACACCGCCAGTTTTGTTTTTCCATAAAATAAGAATATATTGAAATTCATCCATGTTTTGAAGGAGTTAGTATTGGGATTATAAACAAATTTATCTGGCCATCATAATTTAGCTAAGTATTAATTTATTTTAATTAATATAAATAATTCGAATTATAATGTGTCTTATCTTTGGGATTAATTTTTGCAAAATAAATATGAATAAACAACTGTTATAAGTCATTCTTTTGCTGATGGGGATTTTCCAATTACGGGGAATAATTATCATAATTATTTTATTAATAATTATAATAAGCAATTTGGAAGTGACATAATGTGAAAGAAATGATAATAATATAAGTCATTCTAGTGCTCAACCCGTGCATTTGCACGGAGAAAAATACTTAGAAAAGATAATAATATAAAAAAATACATAACCATAATTCATTTCATGAGAAAAAATATGAATTAAGAAAATGATTTTAAATTTTATTAAACATATTGTTTGTATACAATATTTATGGTTTTTCTATCGTCAGAATCACCATCACCACATATCATTATTTTCAAACACTTCCCATTAGTAACTCCAGAAAAGCAACGTCCAATTGTTTATTACTGAAAACAGGGTCATTCAAGACTAAGCGAACGTGTGAGAGAGATTGATCTTGACTCTTGATGATCGCCATAGTATAGGAGACCATGTTAAAAAAAATTTTGCGTCGAAATTTTAACGGTACCCTCAAACAAATAGGAAATAATAAAATAGAAGAGCCATTACAACCATTTTCTTTATGCTAAATCAATTTTGTAACTCCCTTAATTGATTTATGCTCATAATTTATGGCATTCAAGCAAGTTAATTTGTAACTTAAAAATGAAATTGAATGCTAAAAAAATTGGAGGGAGAATAAAATTTAATGCATCACAATAAAATTAAATGCTTGACTTGCCAAATTATATATTTATAGATTTATTATCTCTCTACACCTTTTCATCTGCAAATAATTTTAACGGAAGCAAGTATTTTTTACCTTTCTTTGAATTAAGCTCTATGACATCCACAATTCCATTAAAACGACTTTAAAGACTTCCGAAAGTTGGTCAAATACTAATAAACATAGTTGTTTCGATTGAAGAAACATCTCATAGAAAATTTACGATAAATATTCATATTTCTTTTTTAAACAAAACATGAAAAAAAAAAAAAAAAAAAGTCTGCTGCACTTTCAACTAATAAACAGCAAGGTTCCTAGTAATCCATCTTATTCTCCATCTTCAGTCAAGCATCAGATCAATTTCAATATATAGGTAAATGTAGGCAGCTAGGCTTGTTTATTGTTACCATTTATTTAAGTTTTTTATTGCAAATTATATTATTTTCTTATTTTGCCCGTAAAATACTCATCTATCCACTGTGAACACATTAAAGTTTGTCTGAGTAGCCACTTGTCAATATTACATCTAAGTGATCGTAGGTGAATCTTTCCACATTCTTTTTAGATCTTCTCTAATACGTCTAGGAAGTAGGATCCTTTATGGTTGGACAACTCATCCTTTATAGTCATTGTCGCATAATCTTTGTCATATATAATGTAGGATACCGTCGTCCTAGAGATGTTAAACGAAAGAAACCGCTCCTGAACTCACATTAGCTCGAGCTTATTTAGTTAATGGGTCTAGCTTGAGTCATTAAGGCTAAAAAAATATATAGTTTTCTATAACTTAGCTCGTTAATATTGATAAACGAGTCGAACTCGAACTCGAACTCGTTTATTGAGCCATTCCTTAACGAGTCGAGCTCGACTCTGCTCTATAAATGCTCAAGCTCGAATTTGAGTATCAAGAACTTAGCTCGACTTATTTACACCTCTACCATTGCGCCCACTCCGACTATTGCCGCTCCCTATGCCTCGCCAGCTCTTTCCTCGCAACGTTCTCGGATGGCAAGTCTCTTATTAACTTTCATCTCTTAGGGCTGAAGTAAATTATGACTTTGGATGAGGGAAAATTGAGTAAGTACATTTGTACAACTATATTATTGAATCTTTTCTCAAATTGGTCTAATTTGTTCTTCTACCTGCCACTCAACACAAACTTTTGATCCTTTATCATAAAGGATCACAAGAATGCATGACAAAATTAAGCAAGTTGCCTACTAACATTAATGATTAAAGGCATGTAATGACTAATGAACATTAATTAATTTTTTAATGGCACAAAAGTCAACATGTCTTCCATTTGTTTTTACTCAATTTTGGATTTATTGGTCTTAAGTATTGCCAAAAGATTGTTTGTCTTGGCTGGGCTGCTCCATTAATTTCGCCATCTTATGCAGCACTAACAAGAGGAATCTTGTGCATGAGATTAGTTGGTAAATGATCTCATTAATCACATCAAAGATTGGAGATTATTGCCCCCCACTAAACAAAAAAGAGGTTCATTTTGTAAGACCTAATTAATGACTAGTGTAATTCTACATGGTTGCCTCGTGAAACGAATCTGATCTAGGCAGAAGCGTACGAATAGGTTCGAGTATCTCTCACGATAAATTCTCGATAAATTTGTATGCGATCTAGTCTCCATCAAAATCTATCTTAGTCTAGAATCAAATGATCAACATTTGGTCACAAGTTTATAAATTCGTATGAAAGAAGTATCTTTCGAAGCATCATACAAATGTTTAAATCGGTTAAATGTGGCTGGAGTTGTGGGTTGGCTCGATCGGCTTGAGGATGCATCTAGTTAGTTTGTGTGTTTAAGTAGAGAAAAATGAGTCGTTTTGATTTTGCTCAAGCATCGCGATAATAGATTAAAGTGATATTTGCTCCTCTATGCCATGATGAACGTTCAATTTGAAACCAAGATTATGTACAAATGGGGAATGGAACGCCACCTTGATATCCACATCCTAAATAATAAGGAAATTTGAGTACATATTAAAAATTTATAAAGGAATATTCCCAATACAATCCACATACTCAATTTTTTTTTTTTTTTTTT